GTCCGTCCATCTGTTCATCTGTCTGTCCATCTGTTCATCTGTCCGTCCATCTGTCCGTCTGTCCATTCATCTGTCCATCCGTCCATCCATCTGTCCGTCTGTCTGTCCATCTGTCCATCCGTCCATCCATCTGTCCGTCTGTCCATCCATCTGTTCATCTGTCTGTCCATCTATCCATCCATCTGTCCATCCATCCGTCCATCCATCTGTCCGTCTGTCCGTCCATCTGTCCGTCCATCCATCTGTCCATCCATCTGTTCATCTGTCTGTCCATCTGTTCATCTGTCCGTCCATCTGTCCGTCTGTCCATCCGTCCATCCATCTGTCTATCTGTCTGTCCATCCGTCCATCCATCTGTCCGTCCATCGGTTCATCTGTCCGTCTGTCCATTCATCTGTCCATCCATCTGTCCATACATCATCTCTCCGTCTGTCTGTCCATCCATCCATCTGTCCATCCATCTGTCGGTCGGTCTGTCCATCTGTCCGTCTGTCCGTCTGTCCATCCATCTGTCCGTCTGTCTTTCCATACTTCTGTTCATCTGTTCATCCATCTATCTGTTCATTTGTTCAGCCATCCATCCGTCCATTCATCCATCTATCTGTTCATTTGTTCAGCCATCCATACGTCCATCCATACGTCTATCCATCCATCTGTTCGTCTGTCCGTCCATACATTCATCCATCCAACTTTCTATCATCCATCCATCCATAATCCATCTATCCATCCATCTGTTAGACCATCCATCCATTTGTATATCCATCCATCCATCCATCCATCCATCCATCCATCCATCCATCCATCCATCCATCCATCCATCTTCTTGTACAGGACTCAGGTCTCGGGGGCAACAGTTGGAGCAGGGAGGTCCAGATCTCTCTCCACAGTCACCTCTTTCTTCCAGCTTTTCTGGAAGGACTCCAAAGTGTTCCCAGACCAGCTGAGAGACATAGTCTCTCCTGAGTATCCTGGGTCTTCCCTGGGGTCTCCTCCCTGTTGGACCTGTCCAGAACACAGGAGGCAACCAGGGTCCATCCTTACCAGATGTCTGAACCACCTCAACTGTCTCCTCTCGATGTGGAGGAGCAGCGGTTCTACTCCAAGTCTCTCTTGGAGAACTGAACTTCTCACCTATATCTAAGGAGAGTCCAGCTACCCTGCAGAGTACACTCATTTCAACCACCTGGATCCAGGATCTGGTTCTTCCAGTCTCTACCCAGAGTTCAGGATCATAGGAGAGGGTACATAGACAGAGCAGTAAACAGAGAGCATCTCCTTGCAGCTCAGCCCCCTCTTCACCACAATGGACCAGCACAGAGTCCACAATACTGCAGAAGCTACAGCGATCCGTCTGTTGATCTTTCGCTCCATTCTTCCCTCATTGTGACCAAAACCAGAGACACTTTAACTCCTCCACTTGAGGCAGAGCCTCACCCTGAAGAGAACAATCCACCCTTTCTGTAACGTTTGTCTCATTCTTTTAAAATGAAGAATTTCAGTTTCTGAGTTTTTGTCTCACCTGTAGCCACCACCGTGAGCGCCACCTCCTTCTCCACGACCACCCTCTCATCTGCCAGCGGTAGCAGGAGAGTCCGGTGGAAGGTGCAGCGGTACGTCCCCGAGTCGTTGAAGGTGACGTTCTGGATGTAAACGGCTCCGACCTGAATGTCGTGGTTCAGGGTCCCCTGCCACTTCAGGCGCTCGCGGAAATCCTCATGGAGGATGTCGGCGGTGGGGTGGCTGTAGCTGAAGATCTGCAGAGGGACAACAGAACCTTTGTGACAGGAGAAGACAAACCAAAACCTGGTCTCCAGGGACTCTGTTGGACTCACATGCCTGAACTCGCCCTCCCCCTGTGGTTTGAAGTGCCAGTCCACAGTGGTTCGGGCCGGAACCTCCTCTCGTTTCTTACAGGAGATGCAGCCGAGCAGGAACCCTTGCCCCGCTACTGCTTCAGTCAGGGAGTCCACCTCGGCACAGCCGCCGAGACACGGTGACACTTCAGAGGGAAGCAGAACATCAGACTGACAAATATGATTTAACCCTTCTGCTGGCATTGGGTCAATATGGCCACCTGCTGATGTGCAGAACCTGTTGTTGTGATCATCAGCATGTTCTGATTATCAACAGGTTCTTAACAGAACCTGGACTTTAACAGTGTCTGACTCACCAAGAAGGCTGCAGGCCACTAAAAACGACAAACAGTGAATCATTTCTGCTGGAGAAACCGTAGGAAAGTTCTGATCCAAAGAAGGTCCTGCAGGTGCTTGTTACTCTACCATGTTCCTCAGAACGACCAGTCAGCTCTTCAGAATATTTCCCCAAAACGAAGACTCGGTCTGTCTCAGAAGCAGTTCTACAGAACCTCTCCTCGTCGGTTCCGTTCGACTTTAAGGCGGCTAAATTTAGAGGGAACAGGAAACCTGAGACGATGAGATGAGCTCCAGAACAGACGGACCCGCCCGGATCAGAACTCAGATTCACAAACAAACAGAAAAATGAGTTGGAACTTGCCTACGTTTAATTCAGGAGCAGAACCGTTTGGACCCGGGCTCTGGTTCCAGTATTTTAAACTAAATGTTTTTAGGGATTTTGTTCTCCAGAAGAATCAGCAGGTCCGTCATGCAAACTCACCGGGTCGGGTTTTGTTAAACAAAGTGTGCAGAGAAGAAAAAAGCCACGTCACGTGCACGATGAAATGAAACACAGATGAGTTCTGGAGGTCAAAGATCATGTCCCCAAAGGGAATCGGGAGGTCAAAGGTCATAGCACAGATGAGTTCTGGAGGTCAAAGATCAAGTCGCAGACAAATTGCTGGAGGTCAAAGGTCACAGTACAGATGGAGCTCTGGAGGTTTAAGGTCACAGCATGGACAATTGAAGTTCATAGGTGAAGGTAGGAACGTAGACCGGCCGGTAAACAAAGAGCTTTGCCTTACAGCTCAACTCCCTCTTCACCACAACGGACCGGCACAGAGCCTGAATATTGCAGACGCTGCACCAATCCATCTGTCAATCTCACGCTCCATTCTTCCCTCACTCATGAACAAAACCCCGCTATACTTGAACTCCTCCACTTGAGGCAGAACCTCACGTTCGACCCGAAGAGAGCTAGAGGACCATGGCCTCAGATTTGGAGGTGCTGATTCTCGTCCCAGCCGCTTCACACTCGGCTGCGAACCGCTCCAGTGAGAGCTGAAGATCACGGCACGATGACGCCAACAGGACCACATCATCTGCAAAGAGCAGAGATGGACTCCTGAGGCCACCGAACCAGAAACCCTCTGCCCCCTGGTTGCACCGAGAAATTTTGTCCATAAAAGTTATGAACAGAATCGGAGACAATGGGCCGCTCTGGTGGAGTCCAACTCCCACTCTGAAGGGGTCTGACTTTCTACCGGCAACGAGAACCAAACTCTCGCACTGCTTGTATAGGGACCAAACAGCCCGTAACAACAGGCCCCCAGTCCCATACTCACAGAGTACCCCCCACAGTTTACCCCGAGGAACAAGGTTGAACACCTTCTCCAAGTTCACAAAACATGTGTAGACTGGATGGGCAAACTCCCATGACTCCTCGAGCACCCTAGTGAGGGTAAAGAGCTGATCCAGTGTTCCACGGCCAGAACAGAACCAGCATTGTTCCTCCTGGATCTGAGGTTCAACCAACGATCGGACTCGCTTCTCCAGTACCCAGTTAACTAATAAACCTTACTGGGGAGGCTAAGGATAGTTATGCTCCATGTAACTGGAGCACACCCTCCGCTCCCCCTTTTTGAAGAGAGGAACCACCACCCCAGTCTGCCAATCCAGTGGCACTGCCCCCGATGTCCACGAGATGCTGCAAAGGCAACCAAGACTACCCCACAACATCCAGAGTCTTATGGAAATCAGAATGAATCTCATCCACCCCCAGAGCCCTGCCGCCGCGGAGCTTTTTAAATATCTCTGCGACCTCAGCCACAGTTATGGACAGACCAACTCCGAAGTCCCCCAGCTCCGCTTCCTCCATGGAAGCCAGTTGAGAAGGTCCAAGAAGTATTCCTTCCACCTCCCAACAACATCACTGGTTGAGGTCAACAGCACCCCACCTTCACTGAACGCAGTGTTAAGGAGCTGCTTTTCCTCTCCTCAGCCTGATGATTTGCCAGAATCTCCTCGGAGCCGAACAAGAGTCGTTATCCAAGGCCTCACCGAACTCCTCTCACGGTTTTTGCCTCGTCAACGACCAAGGCTGCGGACCACTTGGCCCTCCAGTACTCCTCAGCTGCCTCTGGAGTCCCACCAGCCAACAAGGCCAGATAGGACTCCTTCAGTTTGACAGCCTCCCTAACCCGGGCTGAGGTGTCCACCACTGAGTTCGATGGTGGCCACCACGAGAAGCACCAACAACCCTGCAGCCACCTCAACAACTGAGGCGTGGAACATGGCCCACTCAGATTATGTAAGATATATATATTAGATATTTAATGATTATATATAATAAGTAGACATTTATGTGATGTGATTTATTGGCTTGTATTTGTGGTTGATTGAACCTCATTGTTTTTGGTGATAAAACGCTGAACTTTGTTTTTCTGCAAACACTACATTGATCAGAACCTGAAGCTGCTGTTATTTTTATTTATTTATTTATTTATTGTGTGTGATTTTTATCAAATCTGTTGTTCTGACCCAAACTCTGGCCCTCGGAGAAACATTTCATTTTGTGTTTAAACTTCAGTTTGAAGCTCCATTTGATCGTCTTCTCTGACTGAGCGTTTTAAATGGATATTCTTCAGTTGTCCTCTGTTGGCTGTGGTCCTTATTTTTGTTTTAAAAATACCCGGTAATCCTCAGATTGGACCGAACCGTCTGAACGGCTCTTATCTGGGCCGGTATCGGCGGTCAGTGCCATCTGGACCATCAGGACAAACACGGCTGAAGGCCTAGCGTGTGCACATGACGGGTGCAGCGTGTGGTCGTGTTCCTGAAAGTTCTGGGGTCGTTGTGGGTCAGGGATGCTGTGACTCTGGAGGCCCGTTTTGACCTTGAGCCGGCCCTGGAACATGAATAAAACACCAGGCGCGTGATTAGAAAACAAACAGAGGAGGCCGTGTCCCCCGGGGAGGCTGCTCATTAAGGACGGGAGGGGGGGGTGGCTTCAAGGAAATGTTGACGCCTGATAAAGCCTGTGTGGACGGGCCCAAACATCCAGGGAGACGCCTCCTCCCTCACCGAGCTGCTGCTGCTTTATTTTTAGCTCAGCTCGGGTTTCCAGGCGTGAGCCTCAGCTGCTGCAGGAGCTGCACATGAGCTGCAGAGGAGCTGCACATGAGCTGCTGGCTGCACATGTGCGCTGCGTTTGGAAGTGTTGATTACAGCAGGACACGACACGCTGCCTGGGAAACGACTGCCAAGTCACTGTGCTGCTCTGCTGCTGAAAGTCAACCTGACAGGAAGGTAAGAGCTGCAGATCCAAACCTTCTCGCAGGTTCTGTTCTGCTTCCTTCACGGCTGTGGTTTGATCAGTTCCAGGTGCTGGAGTCTGACAGATCTGCTCCATAATGTTTTCTGTTTTTAACCCACAACTTGCTGACTCTTAACTGTTGGTTTGTTTGCACGGATCGTAACGCTTGGTCACATGTGTCTGTAAGTTTCAACAAATTATTGAGGGAATAATAAATAAAACTCATCTTTTATGCCTCATGTTTAAGTCAGGTTCCAGGATTTTGGAAATGAATTCAGCTGTGTGAAGAAGCGGTGTTGTAATTCAGAAAAGGACTTAATGTTTGTTTTTCAGCTGGAGGTTTCATGAGTCCTGCAGTTCCTGCTGCTCTGATAAAATCTGCTGATATCACACTCGCGTTTAATGCCGAGTTCACACAAATGTTGTGTTCACAAAACACATTCAGCACTCACTGGATCTGCAAAACAAAAGGCTTTCAGAGAAATCTTCATAAACTAAAGGAGTCTGAAGGGATGAAACGAGGAAAACTCAACTAGATGTTTTTCTAAATTAAAAGTAAAACTATTGAGAAATTGTTTCTGTGAACATCCAGTGTGGAGGCTGAGCGCAGTGAACTCATGTGTTGAAGAAGCTGAAAATGAAGGTAAAACAAAGGCTAAAATTAGCAGAACGGCAGCTAAAAGCTAAACCTTCATCAATAAGCTGAAGTAGATTTCAAACAGCCCAAAGTTTTTCTAACATTTCAAGAGTTCGTTCAATTCAGTGAGGTAAAAAATGTGACACAAGTTAAATATTTCTAAAGGTGTACAAACATTACAGAATGTAATGCCCAAATGAGCATTTTGATTTGTTATTGATCAAAGTGGCTGAAAGGCATGTGCATCTTAAACAATGAACAATGAACAGGACAACGCTGACTCAGTTTAAACCCAATAAATGTGTTTTTATACGGATGCAAACTCATGACCTGCTCCTACACTTGCAGCAGACATTAACATCTGTGCATGTTGTATAAAAATGTGTTTTTGTTTTTGTGTCCAGCTGCAGGGAGCTGGACGCTCTCCGTCTCCGGGGAGGACATCTGATCTGCTGCTCCTGTGGGATCAGATGACATGATGCTGCTGCTGCGGGAAACAGGTCGTAAGAGTCCATTTTGTTTTAAACTCTGATCATTTTCTTCATTATTTAGATTATTTCTGCTTATCAGGGCTTTGATAAACACAAAGAGAAGCTAAAACTAAAATGTCTGCACACACAAGAGGTCGCTGTAGTTCTATTCAGTTGAAACTCATTTGGTCCCTTTAAATCAACTCAGAAATTAAGTCATATTAAAGACATTTATGTGTTTTTTGCTTATTTTGCAGTGTTAAAACTGGTCACTGTGGCTTCATTAGAGTGTAAAAATGTATTTTATTCAGGATTAAAAATGGCGTTTGCAGCAAAATAGTATTGGCAACGAAGTTTAAGATTGGTTTAATTTGTTTGATAAAATCAAATTTGGTTTCGGACTGATTTTAATCCGTTTTAGTGGCCTTTATGCGGTGTGAACGCTTCTTCTCGCCACATCTTCAGGTACAGTTATTTTCCGGACCATACCATAAAGTTTGCTCCGGGGGGGTGTTTGTTTTATTCTGTTTACGTTTTATCTTTTTTTATTGAAAAATGTATATAATTTATGTTTCATATATTAGATTTTTATTTAATGTGTTTCAGAATTCTTGATTTAATTAAAACAAACCCGTGTGGTTCGGCCTTTAAAGGTTCAGTTTCTTTGCGAACCCCCCTCTCCTGAGTTCGCTCGTCCGTTAACTGACTTCGTTCCTTTTCTCTTTTCGACAAAAACCGCTTTTGTTCGGAACTTTAACCCGAGCTAGCTTGGCTCCGACGCTAGGCTGAGCTCGGTGTTTATCAGTAAATTGAGTTGGACCGATGTGTTTGCCGCAGTGAAGTGAAAATGGAGGAGGTCGGAACTGCGTGTGGAGTTTTTAGTGCTGAAAGTTAAGTCCTGCGGGCCTTCTGGGGGGGTTCGGTGTGACCGTCTGTAGCCGGCTGCGAGCTAACGGTTAGCCGGCTGATGCCCCCTCCTCCGCCCGGGAAGAATGTTGATGTGTTCTTGTGAAAAACTGGATTTCAACATCCCATCCCGGACCGTGACTCGGCTGGTCTTCGAGGCCGAACAGGACGGCAGGAACGCGGGGAACTCGTCCAATGGGAGGTAGGAGGCTAGGCTGGAGTTGGGAAGTTTCTCTGTGTTTGGCCCGGTTCCTCCCGTGGACCGGCTCGGTTTGTGGGTCAGGGTGTCTGTGAGGATCTGCTCTTCCTTTTGTGGGACGGTTGTGTTGTAGCAGATGGTTCGGATTTCATGCGAGAATATAAAAAAAAGTTCGGTCCGCTCGCAGATTATGGCTGGATTACTCTGAACAAACAAGTCTGGGCTCAGATTGTTCTTGTTCAAACAGATCAGGCTGAGACTTTCCCTGCAAGCTTTGAACACGCACAATGGACTGAAACGGAGACACAGAAGTGTCCCTGTTGGACACATCGGCAGTCCAGACTGTGGTTCTGGTGAGGTTCTGGTAAACCCCGTTGATGGCGGCTGTTTGTGTGGGAGGTGTGTTTTTAAAATGGGTGTGTTGTTGTTTTTATCATTTCTTGCACTAGAACTGTTCTGGATCTGTCAGTGGAACCAGTCCTGTTCTGCTCCGAGAACCACGAGGCAACTTTTTACCTAGCAGAGCAACGCGAGGACATTGGTCAATTTGTCCTCCAGCTGTCGAAGCCTATAGCAGCTGAACTAATGGAAACCCAAGCCAAACCTAACTATAGGATTTATCAGAAAGGGAAGTCTTAAAACTGGAAAATGTGTCAGCCTCACGGTCAGAAACTGGAAGTTGGTTCCACAAGAGAGGAGCCTGATAACTGAAAAATATTCCTCCCATTCTGCTTTTGGAAACTCTAGGAACCACAAGTAAACCTGCAGCCTGAAAGTGAAGTCTGTTAGGAAAATATGAAACAATAAGATCTGTAATATAAGATGGAGCTAGGTTGTTGAGAGCTTTGTAGGTTAGAAGTAAGATTTTGAATTCAATTCTGGATTTGACTTGGAGCCAATGGAGAGACGCTAAAACTGGAGAGATGATCTCTCCCAGTAACTCCAGTTAAGACTCTGGCAGCAGCATTTTGGATCAACTGAAGACGTTTTAAAGAAGTATTTGGACACCCAGATAACAAACCATTGCAATAGTCCAGTCTAGACCTGAAAAATGCATGAACCAGTTTTTCTGCATCATCTTTAGATCAGATGTTTCTAATGTTAAGTGATATCACGCAGGTGGAAGAAGGCGGTTCTAGTAACGTTGTTAATGTGGGGGGATAAAGGACACGTCCTGATCAAAAATAACACCAAGGTTTTTAACATTAGAGCTGGAGGACAGATCGTCATCCTGAGAAAGTGAAAGGGTGCAAAATTTATTCCTAAAATGCTCAGGTCCAAAAAAACCAACCTCTGTTTTGTGTGAGTTTAAAAGCAGAAAAGTAAGGCTCATCCAGGGTTTTATGTCTTTTAAGACATGCCTTCTAATCTAAGTAGCTGATTGGATTTGTTGGGTTTCATGGACAAATATAACTATCACCGGCATAACGATAACAATTTATCTAATGCTGTTTATTAACTGTACTGCATGGAAGCATAAGGCAAAGAGTATTGGTCCAAGCACTGAACCCTGAGGAACTCCATGACTAACCTTGGTGTATGAAGAAGATTCATTATTTACATTTACAAACTGGAAAATATCAAATATGATTTAACCATTTTAGAGCAATTTCTGTCATATAACCATAACTCCTACTACTACCACTCTTAGTACTAGTACACACACACACAAAACTTCTCTAGTTTTTAATACCTTACGTTCAGTGAGCTAAACAGCTGCCCACATTTTCAGCAGCCACCTATCTACTGTAGACACAGGATTGCTACATAGTTAAAAAAAAAAAAAAATGTCTGGAATTTGAGTAATTTGGTCGTTTCCAAGTCTGGATAGTTTTGGAGAAATGTGTTTCTAAACTTGTGTTTCCGAAAGTTAAAAATCGAAAGTTGACTGACAAATCTGGATGTTTGAATCTGAAAATGTCTCGTTTCTAAATGGGGGGAAAAATGTCTAAAACCTGAAATCATGATGTCACTTCCTGCCATCAACGTTTCAGATGACTTCACCTATGAGCCGACAAATGAAACACCCACCAGGTGTGTAAATGGGTATGTGCTTTCAATCGGATACAAAGGCACCAGGTGTGTTTACCTGTTCTTTACAGGAACAGAATGGGAAAAAATTATTTTGACCATATCAAAAGAAGTTTAAAAACAAATAAATAAATGGGAGGAGTCAGATGATTCTTAACCAGAGATCTAGTTTTTGGTGTCCCCTCTCCCACAGTTACTGTCTTTTTCAGTATGTTTGAGTTTACAAGAAGAAAACTGGACTTTTAGTTCGACTGACTCGAGTAAAGTGAAGGACGCTTTTTTAAAATCACTTAGGAGTGCTGATTGTGTTTTTAAAGACCGTCTGATATGAAGCTGTGCGTCTGCGTTTTATCATTTTATTTTTCTGCACCTCTGAAGCTGCAGTGACCAAAGTCTGTCAACTCTGCCAACTTCTGAGTTAATTTATGGGGGGTTTATGATCAACCTGAGCTCTAAAACAATCCAGTTTTAGTCCTAAAGGAATGCAGGTGACATATACTCAGCCTCTATAAATAAATCTTATCAATCCGTCCTCTAATGGGACAACATGACATGTTCCCAGAACCATCAGAGCAGCAAGAAGACGGAAATAAGCCGACCCTCTGCACATCAGTTGGCAGAAAAGTTCTGCTCAAAACCAAAATATATTACTTCTATATATTTTAGAGATGTGATGTGTTCAGGTGGGACAGTGATTTGAATGCAGAGTCTCTGCTCTCTCCACTCCTCAGGTAAAAACCTGCAGATCTGATTCTGTCTCCAGCTGTAAGGTGAACCGGGTCGGGCAGAACCTCGTCTGAAGCTCGGATTCAGAGTCTGAGAGTGAGGAGAGGAGATGCTGGGGCTCGTCAGCTGACGTGATGGGACATTTTCACACATCTTTGCTAATTTAGAGGACCAAGCATTTGACTGTTAAACTCCTTTTGCCTCCTTTGGTGTGGAGAAACGCCCCCGTCGGTTTTGAAACTTCTGTGGTGGAACGTTGCTCTTTGTGTCAAAACCTTTTATTTCACAGGAAGAATGACCCATGGCTTGTTCAGTCAGAAGGCAGCTTCATGTTAATGAGTCGGGTCTCTTTTTGACACTGAGAAGAACCGGGACGTGTGGACCAGAGGATGACCATGTCTTCTCCTGTGAGACCAGGGGCTTTCACTCTGGCTCAGCCCATCCCTGTCCCAACACTGACCGTCCTGCCGCCGTCCTCAGAAACGGAGTCCTGGTCCCGCTCACCAAGTCCCAGACCATTGCGCTCCGGGCGCCTCAACCGGTCCCACTGCAGCAGGACCCGGACCAAGAGACGCAAAGAAGGGGATCGGGGCTACGTTTCTGACCCACAGGGGGGGAAAACTCCACAGATTGTAGTGGAGGAGTCGGCTGAGGGAGGTCTGGTTCCACGATGCAGCTCCTCGCCTTTCGGGGCGTCTCAAAAGGAGGGAGTACAGGGCGAGGACAGCCCGTCACATGACCTCCTCCTGCCGCCGGTCCGCTCCTGGTCCCGTAGCCCCTCGCCCAGCCGGCGGTCTCGTTGGTCTCTCAAGAGTCTGCTGAACAAAGACTCAGACGGGGACAGCTGCAGGTTAGTGTTCTGGGTTCAACCCAAACGACCCGCCTGCAGGTTCCACAGAACTAAAGGCTACAGAAATACTGCACAAATGTTCAGAAAGGTTCAGAAATGTCCGCTCCGGTTTCCAGAGGTTAAAGCTACTCGTTGCAAATTCATGACTCATAATTTTTATTTTTTTAAATTGATGGGTATCTTTATTGATGGGTGAAGTGTCATTAAATTAAAATATTGTAAACGTAAATTGTGACCGGATGACGACTACACGTGTGTTTGTTTAGCTACTGAAACGGCTGGCGTGACGGAGAACGGGTCAAACATTTGTTTACCTACAGCAGCCCAAAGGCCCAGTTTCCCCGGGCTGCGGGTCGTTGTCCATCATTTTCTGGATTGTCTCCTGAAAGTCTCCAGAAGGTCTCCCGAGTGTCTTATGACTTCCATTAGGATCTCAACTTCTTCATGTAAGGCGTAGCGGTTGAAATGGTCTCAAAGTTGACGAGGGCGTCTCTGACCCGTCTCTTGAACAGGAGCTCTCTTCTGACAGAAAACATCCGAGGTAAATATCCCGGTTTGAAAAAGTATTTTGGATCAGTCTGTCCTCATTTGAAAAGTAAACTCTTAGCAGATTAAATTCTATGTAGGGTAGCCATGACACCAAGAATGCAGTTTTTCAAATGGCGCACATGAAAACGTGCTGCGATGTTTAACAACTGTCCTGTTAGATTGTAGCACACAAACAGATTTCAGTGCAGTCGAAATGTTTTCATCACCTAGACTCGCAACATTCGCAGCTCCGTGAAGTACCACCTTTAATAAAGGTCAGTCACGTGACGTGTTTTCATTCAGCCAGGTGCTTTGTTTACGTTGTGTACGGACCTGCATTTCCAAACTCTGTATTATTCTATCTGGAAACCTAGAGGAGTGAAGTCTTTCAAAGTGCTTTGTGTGATGACATCAGGAGAACTTGCTTTGGGTTTGATTGATTGGGTTTGATTTCAGCGTTTACAATCAGAACCTTTAAACTACTTATCTGACGTCCAGCAGCAGCAGCACATAAAGCTGAGTGGATCAGAACAGCCCGTTCCTTCTGTCAGCACTAAGTTTTATTGTTCTGTAAAACCTCCGACTCATTTACATTCAGGTCCAGATTTACCAGCAATTTCAGACCGGCTTCAACCGGTTCTTCTAAGATAAACCTGCACTGAGAGCGTAGGACCTGCAGATGATCCGTTTCAGATGTTGGTTTACCGTACGGTACGACGAGATGTTTCATACGCAGCAGCAGGGTCAAGTAAACTGTAAACAAAGAGGAGCAGATGTAAAGAGGAGAACAAAAAAACTGAGCTGGGTCAGTCAGAAGCTGGAGGCGGGGAGCCGAGCTGTTTATCCTCCCTCAGAATGATGACATCACCTCCAGCCAATGGGAGCAGGCCGTGGGTCTGATGATGTCATGTGGGTCCAATGAGAGGAGGTTGTGGTGGGCTGCAGAGGGTCTCGCTGCTGTGACCTCTGCTCTTCATTCACACTTGGTTTTATAGAACCACTGATATGGTTCTTCTGTGCATTAATGTTCCACAGCCGGGTCACAGTCGGGACTCGTCTGAGGGACTGAGCCGAATACTTCCCCAGCTACCTTTTAGCATTTACCTAGCCTTTTGCTGCCTTTAGCATTTACCTAGCCCATGGCTGCCTTTAGCCTTTACCTATCTTTCTTATGTCATTTGACTGCTTTTAGCTCCTTTTCTAGGTTTAAATAAAAAATTAGTTCCAGCTTCTGCAGCTGTCATTCAGCCTTCACACAGAATTCAGCTGAAAGTGGAGTCAGGAGATGTTTATGCTGAAATATGAGTCCCTTTGCTCCTTTAAGAAAATTGCAAGAATAAATCTCACTTTACCCTCAAACTTAAGAGAAGTCCTCGGCCATCAGTATAAACAAAACATAGTTCAGTTTTAAGTTGTTCATTTTGTGTGTTTTCATGACTTTGCAATGAGTGACTTTAATCAAACTCTTAGAAAATAAACCACCCAAGATGGCCGCCACTGCCAGCTGAACTCAAACCCAAGTGGCCAAATCTCAGACATTAAGCTGAAATTGGGTGTGGTAGTAGCTGAGAGTCACTCCCAACACACATCCAGTGCACCTGTTGGAGGCAGAGGGCGATGTGCATTCCTTAATGGAGGCTACTTTTTATTTTACTCTCTTTAATTTACTCTAAATGTGATGAAGTCAGAAATATTCCCAGGATATTTTTAGTTGTATCACTCAAGATTATTAAAACGGCGGGTGATATGCGTTCATTTGATGTTACTTTAACTGTCTAGGCTCTTTTCATGTTTGTCTTTGTCTCCCAGAATTTACAGTAGGTTAAACATGCACACGCGTGTGCGCGTGCGTGCGTGTGTACAGTAAACGGATGCTCCTCACCGACTGTAAACATGTGAACAAGTCTCCATGAAGTCATCTGGAACAGAATGTGACGTTCGGCTCCATGGACTCGGGACAGATTGGTGTTTATTGATTATCTGCTCTTTATTCATCACTGATTAGCTGTAATCTGTTTCCAGCCGTCGTCTCTGGTTCTGGTCGGGTTCAGACCCTCTGTTAGTTGATGGTTTTATTCACGGCCGTGTTCTGATGGGGGTTTGGACTCCTTTCTGCTCGTCTGAACAGGAAGCTAAGCCGAAGAGTCGCGGTAACTTCTCGTCTATTCGCCCACATCCTGTGCTCCGGTTTCTTCTGCGGGTCGTTGATGAACCTTCAGGAAAGCAGATTACTCCGAGGGGCGGGGGGGCCTGCGGGCCCGGCTCAGGCCAGACTGGATTATGGTGTGGACTCTAATCCACAGGGATGGACACACAGATTGAGGGTGAGGGGATTGGTGGGCTCTGGACTTGGGCCAGGTGGACTCGGACTCTGAGTCTTTTTCTGGATGCAGTCTGAAGGCTTTAATCTGAAAAATAAACAAAATATTAGGATTACAGCAGGGTTCATACGCAGCCAAAAATAAAGGATTTATTTTAAAATTTTGGTCTGGATAAGTAAAATAAAATTATCGTGTTGCTCAACAACTTTAATATTTTAGCAAAGATGCTGCTGCTGCACACATGGAGATTTAAAAAAAATAAATAAAAATTTAAAATAAAAACAGGTAAATAAAAAACTTTTATTCATTTTCACAAAAATTGAAATAAAACAAGTATTTCAAAATATAATCTGTACTAGTAGGTGATTGTTTATTAAAGACATTTTAAATAATTTTAAAGACAAAAATCAATTAAATATATTTTAATGAGGGCAAATCTTTCCTACAGCCAATAATTCAACATAAATGTGCAGAAAATGTAATTATTGTTTACGACACAGTAAATAAAGTCATCTTAATTCAAGATGGCTGCCACAGCTAATCCTCATCTTGAGACGAGTCAAAAATGTCTCCAGTTTGACAGAAATTGAGAAATTGGCCCCAAGTTTGACTGGATTAGAGACAAAAGTCCAGACAGAGCGCTGCTGGAAGAGGCTGAAGCTGTTTTGAAAACAGCTAAACATTAGCTAAAAGGAGCAACATGGACTGTAGTTAAAAGCTAAAACAAGTTGTTGGGTTAAAAACGATAGTTAGAAGCTATATGCTAATAGCTGCAACTAGTGAGCTGAAAAGAGCTAATGGAAACAAAACAAGAATAAGCTAAAAGGAGATAATAGGCACATAACTATAGTTAGAAGCTAAAAGAAATTAGGCACAACACAGTAGCTTGAAGCTAAAGGTAGCAGAACTGTAGCTAAAAGGAGCTAATGAGCAAAACTGTATAGCCAAAGCAATATAAAGCAAAACAGTAGCTTGAAGCTAAATGTTGCAGAACTTTAGCTATAAACGGAACATTAGTCATGTGAGCCAGAAGCTATGAAAGCTAAAAGGAGAAAATATAAAACGGCAGCTAGAAGCTAAATGTAGTAAAATGGTAGCTAAAGTAAGACAAAGTTAGCAGAAGAAGTTTGATTATCAACTAAAGACTAGTTGATAATCTTTAGTAAAGTCGAAGCATGAAATCGGAACTCAAAGCAGAACCTCGAAGTTCTGATGGAGACTGTTTCAACAGAACCTTCATGTTCTGATGGAGAACTGTGAAGAACAGTCTCAGCTGTGGTCACACGCGGACACAACTGATGGTGTCGGTCCAGTCCTCCTGATCTGAGAGCAGACAGACCTCTGACTCCTCCTCCTCCTCCCCACCTCCTCCTCCTCCTCGGCTCCAAACGGATGAGGGGACAGGCTCAGAGGCAGCTCGTTCCCGGCTCTGTCGGTCGGTCCAGGCGCAGTCCGTCGGTCCGGTACCAGCGGGGGTGCAGAGGAGGGGCTTCGGCCGCGATGGGGAATTAAAATCCGACCGCGGGACGGCGGTTCTGGTCCTGGATTGTGGTCCGGATCGAGGCCGAGCAGCGGATCACCATCGGGGGATTTAACCCTGAACCGGCGGGCCTGGCTGGATCCGAACCTCCTCCTGTCATGTTCGAGTGAGTGTTTGAAACCGAACCGGGTCCGAGCCTGCAGCGAGCCGTTAAATGAATCGGAGGTTCCGTTCAAAGTGCTGGTTCCGGTCCTTTCACCGGCCGGCCTGCTCCCTGCAGGTGGAGGGCAGATTATTTCAGCTGTTCTGGGTGAATATTAGCAGATTATCTAATCTGAGAGGAAACATCCTCATATCTGTGCAGCTGATGGTTTATGGGCCCAAACTGAGAGGTTCTGCTCCGGGTTCTGGTCCTGGTTCCATCATGCTGCCTGAGAATTTTTTTATTTTGGTTTATTCCCTCTTTATAATCCCAACCTGTGAGTCATTTTACTGCCTCAGTTTAGAGATTTTAGACTTTATTCCCTCTTTACGAATGCTACCTGTTGTTGAGGTTCTGATTTTTCACCTGGGTTTGTCTTGACTTCTGGTCCGGTTCTGGTCTTTCCATCTCTGTTGATCCCGTCTGCTTCTCATGTAATCCTCTGTTTTTTCGGACACGAGAACGTTAATGGGCTCTCTGGTTAATTACACCATCGGCACTCGGGCAGACACTTGGTTCTGACCCGTTTGAGGAGAAGAGACGGGCTCAGAGTGATTTCTACATTAAATTAAGTAAATTAAATCTGAGCTGTTCTAACGAAGCCGCCGTTATCAGTTTCCTCAAGGACGCCGACTTTAACCCAACAATTCATCCAGAGTTTCTGTTTTCTGGCTTTGGTTGTAAATAAAATCCATCAGACTCTCGCCGCGTTTACAGTTAGGATGTTTAATCGTTTAGATTCTGCTCGGACAGTGCTGGACCGCCTCGGAGGTTGTGGAAAAGTACCAGCATGTCCACATGACTCCGACACAAATGATAAAAACACAGATAAGATGGAAACGTGGACGTGTGATTTCTTATTGTCTTTTTAAATGAATGAACCGACTCGGTTCAGCGGACAAATGAGAAAGAAGCCCTTAAACATCCTCTTCTGGTTTTAGATTTTAACTTTAGTTTAATTCTTCCTAACGGCTCTAGTTTAGCGTTATAATTTAAGCAGCAGATTCATTTAAACGTTTCCAAAAACTCAACGTGAATCAATATTTTAGTAACGGTTCCAACAGGCCGGAGCACAAATCACTGCGTTTTACTCATTTATTATTTTTAGATCTTAAACAAAATCATTTTGGCGTCAGAAGGACGTCATTTTGCTTTTTGTATGAAGCGTTAGAGTCCTGTCGGAACAATAATCTGCAGGATCCAGTGGAAATGGATCATTTTCCTGTCGGTAAATCAACTGATCGTCACATTTACACGGAATAAACAAGGTTTTAGGGACAAAGTAATAAAAACGTAAACTATTCTCGGTGTTCGTGGGACAGAAGAATCTGTTTATAAAAATAAGTTTCTTTATGAATCATTTCTTATAGAAAAATGTACTTTTTTTTAACTTCTCGTTTTCATAGTTGAGATTTATATTTTAATGTTCTTATTGGTGCAACTAAAAGTAAGACTTAAATTAAAGTTTAAACTTTAATGAGCCAGGAAATGAGGTTAAAAATTAAAGTGATAAAAGCCAAAGTTTTAAACGCAGACTGTGTGATCTGTTGGTGCTTGGAGTCTGGGACGGGGAGGACACTCGGCTACTACCACACCAAATTTAAGCTCAGTATTTGTAAATCAAGTGGACCCAAAGGTTGAAGCTTTAGAGCTCAGACCAGAACCTGGAAGTTGAAGCTGGAACCTGTGGAGGCTTCACGGGGACCACTTCAGATATGTTCTCCAGACGGTGGCTCTCACCATCCTGATGTTTGATTAAATATTTGTTAACATCTTTAACACTCTGGATTTCGGAGCTTTTTGCTTTTCGTTCTGGTTCTGGACACTAAAAACGTTTTAAAATGTTCCGACAAAGATGGCCGTCACACGTTTGTTTATTGCGACCCGTAAAGCAGCTGAGTTCTTCTCGCCGACGCTTGCTTTAATTTCTGAAAGCTGGGTGGGACGTGGCCAGAGGCGGTTTAAAGACGGAGCTGTCTTTTGCTCCTGAAGAGCCTTCAGACTGTGTCTGGGGGGGGAGTGGGCGGAGCCTAAAGCTCCACATCACCAGTGCTCAGACCCTGGTTCCAGAAATCCAACATGGCTGCTTCTGAGAAACACTTCCTGCTGGCTTCAACTCCTGTCATCAAGAGAAGGCGAGGACAGGTGGTCTGTTAGCAAAATAGCTCGGTGGCGGCCATCTTGTTTTGACTCGGTTTTTAAATGATCTCTATAGTTTTTTTTAATAATGTGTTTATAATGACAGTGTGGTGGCGTCATGATATCAGTATTATGGGATGTTGTGTGTCATGTGTGGTTTTGTTTTGCTTTCTGTTTAGATTGAACATTATTTGAATTATTTAGTTGATTCCCCCGGTGGGTCGTGGTTTCACTCAGAACGAGCTGATGGTTCTGATGTTTCCGGTCTTCAGTCCTTCTGGACTAAGTCCTTTTTTTTTTTTTTTTCTGTCTCCAGCACAGCCAGCAACTCTCCACGCAGCACCCCGGGCAGCTCTCCCTCCCTGCGGCGCAGGGTCCTTGGGGGAGGCAAGGCCAGCGAGAGTGAGGGGGGAGGAGAGAAGAGCAGCGGAGGAGGAGGAGGAGGTTCTGACAGCCCACTGCCCTCCCTACCCTCAGCCTCCTCGCTGTCGTCCGCCTACCCGCTGGCTTCCCGCCACTTCAGTCGTAACGCCAAGGTGAGGCAGGATGGTTGATGTCATCTGTGAACGGACGACTCGGACCAGGTTTCTTCAGTCCCTGTGGTTCTGAAGACTCGTGTCTGTGTCACGATGATTTTGAGTTTCAGAACAGAAACGGTGCGAGCAGATCACAACGACACGAAGCTGCTTTTATGAATGTTTGATAAACACTTTCCAGTCATTTAAATACCTGCGCAGGTGAACCCACCTGGCTGCTCTGTGCTTCATGTAAACGCCGCACCACGCCTGCGCTGCGTCCACACGGAGGAAAAACGGCAAAAGGGTCGAAGTTTCAAACTTTACTAAACCGAAGGAAATCAGCTGAACATGAAAGTGTGGCGTCTCTGCAGACTCTTTACGACGACACAAACTGAACCCACCTGAACAAGTAGAGTTAGAAACGCCTCAAACTGGAGCGCTAACGACGTGCACGGCACAAAGATGCTGCAATTAAACCCGTTTCATTCCGCTCTGTGTCAGACACAAAGTCCTGACAGACGATAACTTCTCCTGGTCTGAGGGAGTTCAGGAGTTTCCAGGACAAATGTTGAGAATAAGTCGACGTCGGGAGCGAGGATTTGATGAAGAAAAGTTTGTTAGTGGTTTAAATTAATCGAATCATCAGGTTTATTGGAATAAATCTTCTTTATTAAACAAGAAATTTGGTCCAACTCAGTTTTTATCACCAGTCTTAACTTTTTTTTTTTAGATTTTTTTCCTGGATTATTGAGCTTGCATCAGGATATTCAGTAAACTTTGTCATGACACGTGCCAGGGTGCAATCACACTCATCACCTGCTGCTCTCAGTCTCCCTACTTAATTACACAATTAGAATTTAAATGCTGTAACATTTTAAATGAACTATCCATGCATGGATTGTTTATTTAAAATGTTACAGCATTTAAATTGTAAATTGTAGAGAAGCGCATCAGGACATCGCGCTTCACACAGCTCTGCAGCACGGAGCAGAAATTTACTTTTTGATCAATTACACGTCAACAACTGAACATAGAAGTTCTAAAATAATTAAAAATAACTTTTTTAACACGCATATTTTGTGATTGACATTTTACATTGTGACATACTTTGAGTTTTAAGTTGGAAGACAAAAGTTGATCGGTGCATCTGGACAGCAAAGGGTTAACCCTTCATAAAGCGATGCAGCAGGAGAAATGTGTGCGTGTGGCAGAGATCATGACAGGCTGCGGGAGAAGCTTCCTCCTGCACTTGTGGGCTGCACACGGGTGCAAATCGTTTAAAATAATTTATTGTAAATAAACAATTCGTGTCTCATCCATCAATCAGCCAGTTGTGTCATGTCTAATCTTACTTTGAAAAGCCACGAATCGGTGAAAAACGAACCGTGACGTAGCGAGGGACTACTTTAATGAATGCGTGTTAAGTTGCTGTTATTCCAGCAGCTCATCGTTCAGGTTGTAAGAAGGAAAACGGGAAATGAAAAGCGTAACGTTTCAGCGTTGCATAAAACCTGTGGAAACCTTTTCAGCTCGTTGCTTCAGCGCTCATCTTTCCTGTGTGAAATCTGTTTCTGTGATCGTTTCCACAAACGTCTGATAAACGTTCCGTTCTGTTTGCAGAAAATGCAGAGCTGGTACAACGTGAGTACGCTTCGACGCCGTTCTGCCTCAACTTCCTGTCCCAGAAAACATTTATCCGTTTTTGATTGCAGTGAAACTAAATGCGAGTTCTTCTCCTCCCGTGCTGCTCAGGTTCTCAGTCCTACGTACAAGCAACGAAACGAAGACTTTCGTAAGATCTTTAAGAAACTCCCCGACACGGAGCGCCTCATCGTAGGTGAGTGACGAGGAGCACGTTTCGTACCCGTCAGGTGTTCAAACAGAATAATCCCAGATTATGTGAGCTGTGAAGACTCGGCACAGTCCTGAAAACCAAAAAAAGATTCAATAAGACGTCTGAAATCTGGAGTTGTTAATTTTTACTCTAAAACATGGGGTGCCCATTTTTGTTTCCTGCAGCTGAAAGGCGAAGGCAGGTGGTGATATTTTTGCCTGTTCGTGTCTCTGTTAGCAAAATATCTCATGATCCAGTGGATGGATTCTAGTGAAACTTTGAAGAATTGGTCACTAGACGTTCACCTACAGCTGAATTACTTTTGGAGTTAGCCTGATTAAAGATGGCTGCCACAGCCAGGTGCCCTTAGAAAACATGAACATGGTTATAGCTCAAACGTTTTGCAGATATCGAACTGAAATTTGGTGAGGTAGTAGCTGAGTCGCACTCTGACCGTGAGATTGCACATAAAATTGTCAGTTTGTGTCAAACTGTTACAACTCCATCTAAAATTTTGATTGAATACGTTAAAAATTGTACCGTAGTGTACGGTATTTGTAAGTGCCTACACAGACTTGTGATGTCTTGTTGCTGCTGTGAATTCTGGGAATTTTAAGGTCAGATGTTAAAGTGCCTGCAACGTCAAATTTTTTAAAAATAAATATGAATTAATTTTGGGGAAAAAAACATTAACGACATATATTACAAAAAAAAAAAAAATCACATGGAGATGAGCAGTTGTTGAGATGTTCTCGTGCACAGTTACAGGAAGTGATGTCAGTTACAGGAAGTGATAGCTCGATCTGTAAGCGGAGGCAGCCATGTTGCATGTTTGTCCGCGCACGTTAACTGCAGTTTTATTAGAAGTTATCAGGCTTCAGGAGAGATCGAGGAGCTGTTGAGCTGAGTTCTGGTCCGGTTTGGTGTCGGTCTGTCAGCTGACCTGATTTCTGTTCCTTGTTTTGGTTTTCTCAGATTACTCCTGCGCTCTGCAGAAGGACATCCTGCTTCAGGGTCGCCTTTATCTGTCAGAGAACTGGCTGTGTTTCTACAGCAACATCTTCCGCTGGGAGACCACTGTAGGTCCCGCTGTGCCCACGTGCAGCTCCGTCCATGTGGAGCCACGTTCTCATCCCACTCTCTGTGTCCAGATCACCATCCTGCTGAAGGACGTCACGTCCATGACCAAGGAGAAGACGGCCAAACTCATCCCCAACGCCATCCAGATCAGCACCGACAACGACAAGGTACGGCCGGACCCCTCTGTGGGCCGCAGCGCCGGACAAGCACAAAGTGTTTTTCTTTCTTTCTGCTGGTGAAGCAGGACCGAACCAGCTGACTCAACTGGATCTGCTCGGCCTGACGAGGAGAATTCACATTCCTCATGTTTCTCCTTCCTCTCGGTTTCCTCCTTCCTGTTTCCTCAGCATTTCTTCACGTCGTTCGGGGCGAGGGATCGCAGCTTCATGATGATTTTCCGACTGTGGCAGAACGCGCTGTTGGACAAGGTACCGCCTCCTCGCCCTCAGAGAGCCACCGAGACCTAAACAAAGGCCAGAGGGCATGGTTATGTCTGTGCAGAAACCGAGCTGAGGCTCCCAGAACCAGAACCAGAACATACAACTCTGCTTTCTGCTTGTTTCAGTCTCTGTCTCCCAAAGAGCTGTGGCACATCGTGCACCAGTGTTACGGCACCGAACTGGGCCTGACGAGTGAAGATGACGACTACGTCTCGCCCACGGGTGAACACATGAACGGACTGCTGTGAGTGTTTTTAAGGTTTTCAGCTTCCGGTAACGACCTCTGACCTGCGGAGCAGCTTTGAGTGATTTAACTCCCGGCTGTGTTTGCTCTTTCAGACCGGGAGACGAGTCGGTGTCGGTCACAGACCTGCTGGACCTGAGCTCCGTGTCGGTTCCCTCCACCGGCAGTTCCCCGCCCCCCCTGGTTCCCTGCACTTTAGTTAGTCCTCCATCGACCACCAGCCTCGGCGGGACCACCCCGCCCTCCTCGTCGTCATCATCCTCCTGTCAGCCCGCAGAGGTTCCCTCCTCATCAGGAAGCAGGATCAGCTCAGAACCTGTGGAGCCCAGTCCTCCCAGCTCGCAGGGCTCTCTGCCGCCCACAGCGCCCGCCAACGGCTCGGCCTCTGCAGCCGTTTCCTTCGTAAGTCTTCGCGTCTGCAGCAAAAGTCCTGAGCCTTTATATTCTACCAAAGAAACGAACACACTTTTAACATTTTATTCTTTGAAACCCTCTTGGACAAACGATGGTCAGGTTTGAACATTTCAAAGCTGTTTGGATTATTTTTCTGTTCAGTTTTCTGTCGGGTTACTGCAGACGAGGTCAGATCAGCTGAAAGATGGTTTTATCTCGCTGAGGAGCAAGTTTGTGACAATAAACGGTGAATTTTCTGTCGCAGCGATGGCAACCAGTGAGCCCAATCACAGCCAGTTTTTTTAAATGACAGCCTGTTTCTGTGAGCACGGCCTCCAAAACTGTGTATTTGTTTGTGCACGTGCAGATTACCCACAGAATAATCTCTGCAGTTTTCTCAGATATTCTCAGGACAGACGACACATTCTCCTGGTTTTACCAGAAATAATCTGATAAAGTTTTTTGAGAAACTCAATCTGAGCTGAGAGTAAAAACAGGATTCTGCTGTCTGACTGACTCGGTGCTGTTTCATCTGACCTCCGACCCCTCTACAGGTCATATGATCGCTTCAGAAGTGTCGTTTTTTTCTGAATTAGACTCTGGAGGAAGGAGGAGGAGGAGGAGGAGGGGACAGTCAGCCGGAGTCGACCAATCAAATGCTGCCCCCACCGACCTGCAGTCTGGGAAACCTCTCCTTGCTGGACATCACAAACGACGAAGAGCTGCCCACCGACCCGAGCAACTCGTCCGACACGCAGGAAGAGAGTACGTTTAAACCCAGAGTTCAGATTTCACCGGGTCAGAACCACAGACCAGAACAAGGGTGTCCGACAACGTCTCTAAAGCCCAAAGTTTATGCAACCAGAAAAGTAATTTCCTGTGAAACTGCAGCGTGAACGCTTATCGCTGAATGATTTCTGCTGAAAGTTTTCATCTTTGAACTGCTGAGTTTGAACAGCTGACGTTGGCTGAACGCAGGAAAATAAAAAGTGTAGAAAAGGTTGAATGAGCTGAAATAGGCGGAGACTGAATAGATCACAGAAAATATGAAATTAGCAAAAAGCTGAAAGTTTTTACAAAGCTGAAATTGGCAGAAAGATGCTGAAAGATCATAAAATGTTGAGATTATTCAAAAGAATCCCAAAAAGAAATGGCAGGAAAAAAAAATGAAATTAGCTGAAAAATCACTAAAGTTGCTGAAAAAGTCTGAATTCAGCTAAAAGAAACTGAAATGAGCAGAAAAATAGCTGAAAACACCTGAAATGTGCAGCAAGAAGCTGAAGGAAGCTAAAATTAACAGAAGCTGAAGGGAGCAGTAAAAAATAAACGGCTGAAGGAAGTGAAGAGAGTTCCATTCATTTTCAATGAGGAAAACATGGCCGCTAAATATTTCAAAAGTTTAAACGGCACAAAACAAACTAAAGTCTCTGCAGGAAAGTCTTAAAAGAGCCGAACGTTTTGAGACATGAAGTGATGAAGTAGAACAAAAACTGAAGGACGAGCTGAAAACCAGGTCTGAACAACGAGAACGGTTCTGAAACCTTCAGAGAATAATAATCTGACGACCCGACATCTAAGCTGAACATGTTGGTGTAAAAATAGTTAAAGTTCTGGAAACAGCAGTTCGGTCCATTTTCCTGTGACCCGTTTAAACTCTGATGCTGGTTCAGCTGGAGGTCCAAACAGGACTTCATGAGCAGAAACCTTCTTCCAGCGAGAACAGGAAGTTGTTGCCGGTTGTTTCTCCGCAGAGAGCTGCCGGCTGCGCAGTTCTCGTCTGTTCCCACGGTGCTGGTTGTGGTCCGGTTCAGGGGTCCGAGGCCTGGTTTTAGCCTCAGTCCATCTAAAAATACTCCGTCTGGATCTACAGAACCTTTCTGACCCTTCAGATAAAAATACCTCTGGTTTAAATAAACATTTAGTGTGAATTTAAAGCACAGAATCTGGTGTTTTGAGGTTCGGTCCATCTGCGATCAGAACCAGATGAAGACCCACATCATCAATGTGCTTTCTGTTTTCGTGTCGCAGCGTCGGGCGAGGTGGAGTCGTTCTGCGCCGACCTCAGCGGGCGCCTCAACATCAACGCTGTGGTCCGGATGAGCGTGGACAAACTGCACGACCTGCTGTTCTCTGCGGACACGCACTTCCTCCAACACCTGTTCTCCCAGAGACACTTCACTGGTAGGTCTGCAGGCCCGGAACGGTCCAACGTGGACACCCTCCATGTTGGTCTGAACTCCTGTCTGCGTGGTGGTTCTGCTGCTGGTGTGCGGTTCTGTAAGTCATCCCAGCGGAACGTGCAGGAACTTGTTGTAGATTAAATCCAGTTTTTCCTGCTCAGGCGGCGTCGGTTACAGCTCAGATTGTTGTCCCGGCTGCCGGCAGCGGACGACATCCACCCTTTGTCTTACCGACTGATGCCTGAACGACTGATTTGGTTAAACTTGATTTTTATTTTGGTTTAGATGGAAGAGACATTTTAAATGGTAAATGGACTGTACTTGTATAGAGCTTTCTATCTGATCAAGATACTCAAAGCTCTTTACAGCAATCTGTGTCTCATTTACCTGTTCATACAGCTCTATACTAGATCTATACAAAGGTAATTGAACAAATCATTCTAAAGAGACTAATCAGAGCTCTATCACATTCAAACACTGATGGGACACACATCAGAGGCTATGAGGGGTTCAGTGTCTTGCCCAGGGACACTTCGACATGTGGATGGTGGATTCGAACCTCCAACTTTTGCATTGGAGGACGACTGCTCTAACCACTCAGCCACAGCCGCCCATTTTACTGCTCGTCTTTTCTAATGTCTGAATGTTTCTGTACAGACGAGACGACTTGTGGTCTATAGAAATGAACTGACGAGAATGAAACGAGACAAATGATTTTAACTTGTCAGCAGTGAGGTGGACACGTCCCAGGTTTAGAGACGGGTCCACTGTGGTTCTCCTTTTTTGTCCAAAGAGTTTGACTCGCATTCTGTCCTACAGATGTCTTCAGGGACATTTGTGCCTTGTCTTTATCCCTAACCCTCATCATCCTCATTTCCGTCCTGCAGACTTGTCCTCATCTTTAATCGTCCTCGTCTCCGTCCTGCACACCTGTCCTTATCTTTAATCGTCCTCGTCTCTGTCCTGCACACCTGTCCTTCTCTTTAATCGTCCTTGTCTCCGTCCTGCACACCTGTCCTTATCTTTAATCGTCCTCGTCTCCGTCCTGCACACCTGTCCTTATCCTTAATAGTCCTCGTCTCTGTCCTGCAGACCTGTCCTTATCTGTAATTGGCCTCGTCTCTGTCCTGCAGACCTGTCCTTGTCTCTAATCGGCCTCGTCTCTGTCCTGCAGACCTGTCCTTATCTTTAATTGTCCTCATCTCCATCCTGCAGACCTGTCCTTGTCTGTAATCGTCCTCGTCTCTGTCCTGCAGACCTGTCCTTGTCTGTAATCGTCCTCGTCTCTGTCCTGCAGACCTGTCCTTGTCTCTAATCGGCCTCGTCTCTGTCCTGCAGACCTTTCCTTATCTTTAATTGTCCTCATCTCTGTCCTGCAGACCTGTCCTTGTCTCTAATCGTCCTCGTCTCTGTCTTGCAGACCTGTCGGTGGGTGAGTGGCAGCAGGACGGCAGCAGTGGGACCACCAGTCGTGTCCTGAGTTACACCATCACCCTCAACAACCCGCTCAGTCCGAAGACGGCCCCCGTGGTCGAGACGCAGGTCTGTTTCTGACGAGTTCCTCTGATCTGTTGTAATAAAGTTTATTTCAGATATTTATTGGTCTTTAGTTGTTTCTGTGGCTCGGGCTTTGATGTGGAGACGTAAATCAGTTAGTGGAGGAATCTCCAGCAGGAAGTCGTAACTCGTTTCAAAGTTTAGCTGCAGAGTCACAGGACAGTTTTCTGACCTTTGACCTCCATGTTTCTTCCCGTCTCCAGACGTTGCATAAGAGTTGCTCCCGAGGCGAGTGCTACGTGGTGGACTGTGAGGTCATCACCTCGGGCATCCCGTACCAGGACTACTTCTACACGGTCCACAGATACTGTCTGACCTCCGTCAACAAACACAAGAGCCGACTCAGGTGGGTTCGGCTGCTGTGCCACACAAACACTGCTCAAAATACACGAACTATCCCTTTAAAGTTGAGTGACATCAGGATGTTATCTCATCATTTTAACCCAACCGTTCTGCTGCTGTTCACCACGAACGTTAAAAAGTTATCGAGTCTTTGCTGCCGTTTCTGTCCTGTCAGCCGAAGGTTGGTGTGTTTGTTTTGTTTTTCTTCGGCTGTTAGCTTCAGCTGAGGTTTTAGCTTATTTAGAAACTCACAGAGCTGATCACTGAAACTCCAAACTCTGAGAAAATCCTACGTGTCAGCATCAGTCAGTGTTTCAGCCCAGTGAGTTGTTTTAATCAGCTAAAGTTTAAAATTTACAGCCTGTCTTTGTTCACAGCCGGTAAAACTCTGTTCCTGCCCGTTCTTTGCCTGCTCGGCTCGTTTTCTGCACGTTTATGATTCACTCTGCTGGTGGACACTCTGTAGACAGGCAGACGTGGACCCGTTTAAATGATTACGGGTCATCTGCGAGGTTCAGCCTCGACAGTTTCTGTGTGAAGAGCGAGAGCTCCAGATTTTACAGAAACTAAACTGAGCGGTTCCAGAACGTGGGGCGACGCCCATCATGTTTGATTAGAGAAGTTGTTGCACAGATTTGTTTAAATTTCGAGCCTCTCGCTTCTTGAGAGGCGTTTGAGAATCCAGGGACGGTTTGGATCCTCTGACATCAGCTCCAGGTAGAACCTTCAGCTGCAGTTTGGTCCGTTAACGTTTTAGTTACGTGAAATTTACATCGCAGACAAAATGTTCGTCTCTTAAAATTAAAATTTCAAAGCTTTTTTCCCCCATAACGTCTCCTTACTGTATAATGTATTAGTTTTCAGTTTTAAATGAGTTCAGGTGTGTTCAGACCGTTTCACGCCTGACGGCTGCAGCTCCACTGAACGACTGTTTGTTCAACGATAAGAGTCCAATCTGGGATTAGATAAGAGACGGAGAAGAGAGCGAGCTAATGATTTTTACTGAGCACGCCGAGGACGACCGTGTGGAACGTCAGAGGGTTTGAAACCCGAGACCTGAGGCCGACGGGTTTCTTCTCGTTTTTACTCCTGATTCTTTGTTCTCGGCAGCAAAATAAATGATTCACTCTGAGGTTTGAAGTACTACATACCAGAACAGAACCCGTTTTAACGTTTCAGCGGTAAATTATTCCCTAGAATCCCACATTAGCAGAGTTTAATTACTCGAAGCGGCTCTTAATGTCAGCGCCTGGAGCTCAAAGAGCAAAGGTGTCCTGCAGACACGTTACACATTCACAGAAGAAGAGCCAAAGTTTCTGCTCGGAGACACGGCTTGAAGGAACGAGACGTAACCGCGCTGCTGTTGACGCCTCGGGACAAAGTAAAATCACTTCTTGCGTCCTGCTGAGGAGGACTTCAAACCCTGAACACCAGAGCACTGCAGCTGTCGTAGGCTCGGTCAAAATCCCGTCTGTTTTTAAATCGAAGCTTCTTTCCCCTGAACGTAAACAGACGGTTAGTTTTGTTGCTGGTCTCTAAAAGAATCCAATGAATGTTGAGACTGGAATCTGACTCGAGCTGCAGAATGTGTCCATCTGAGACGAGGTTTAATTCACACGGCTCACAACCAAAGCCCGTCTCCAGCCGTCCCCTGGTTCTGTTCGGGTTTTAAACCTCCTGACTCTTCTTGTCCAGAGTTTCCTCAGAGATCTGCTACAGGAAGCAGCCGTGGAGTTTGGTCAAAGCGCTGATCGAGAAGAACACCTGGAGCGGCATCGAGGAGTACTACAGACACATGGGTGAGTTTCCTGCTGCCGGACGATCAGTAAACAATATTTATTTTATTTAAGTCAGTCCTGCTTCTGACAGCCTCCTGTCCTCCTGAATCTGTTTTTATTCATCCTCGTCTCCCTGCAGAGAACGAGGTATGCAAGCTGGAGATGCTGCTGCAGTCTGAGGTTACCGTGGTAACCGCAGGCGAAGCCATGGGCGCTGCCGCCGCCAAGACTCCGCCTTCTCTGCGGCGCAGGAAACGCCACTGCTCCCGGAGGCAGAACGAGAAGGAGAGGGAGGGGGGCGGCGTGGACTCTGGGGGTCGAGGAGATCGAGGAGTCGGGGAGGAGAGGGACCGCAGGGAAACCAGTGAGTCAGCTGACCCAGAACTCTTTATCTGTACAGCGCTGCCCCCTGGTGGGCGGAGCTAATTCACACCACAGAGCTTTAGAGGTCAAACTCGGAGCTTATAAAATACTAAAATATCTTCATCAAACTACTTTTTAAGTGTTGAGATTTTTTAAAGGCTAACGGGAACAAACGAGTACTTTATGACCCACACGCTGATTTGTTAGCGACTCTTATCCGTTTCTAAAAGTCCTCTGGACATGTTTTAGACCTTTAAGAAAATAAATGTATTTCTGGGTTTAGGAGCCTGAATGTTTCACAGTTTGTTTCACCTCTGAACATGTTCAGGTGTGAGGACTCAAGTTTAAAGATCATTTAGACCCAATCAGGGAAAAACTGCTGGTTTCAAATAGTAAGAATGTTTTACTTAAATTAAATTTTACCTGACAGAAATGGTAGAAAACGATCCCCGTTTGTATTGTTGATGGTGTTTGTGTCCACAGGGGCAGCTGCTTTTATCCCGTTATTTTACATATATAACTCTTTAATTCGTCAAAATCAATAAAACCAGTTTACGTTAGAAGTTATTGATGCTCTTAATGATTTTTCTTGTTTTTAAAAGTCATTTTTGACTCGACCAGCCGCTGTGCATTAACCCACCTGGTTAGTTCATGTTATATAAGAATAATTTAACGAGTTTACTCGCTTAACTCGAGGCTGACAGGAAAAAACATCTTAAAGAACATTCATCCAATCTGACGAACTTCAGTTTACATTTCAGTTTTTCCATCATTGATCAGCAGTGACGATAAATTAAATTTAACGAACCGGTCATAATGTTTCGGCTCGTAAAGCTCCAAAGGGATCCTGCAGTTTTACTTGAAGTGGTTTTCTCAGACATCTCTTTCCCTGACAGTCAAAGCAGAGGGCTTGTTTCTCAAAAAGGAGGCGGAGCCTAGAGACTATAAAGAGTTTCTCTATGATCTCATGAAAATTCCACGTCTAGTTTCCTTACAGCGCTGATCCTCCTGTGTGTATTTTCAGGCACTCCATTCATGAAGCTGGGTGAGCGCGCACGTGTCGGAGGTCAGAGCAGCATCTCCACCATCCTCCTCATCGTCAGCTTCATGTAAGCTCAGATCCACTTCCTGTTCATGGCGCCCCCCGCTGGCTGTTCACCTGCATGAACTCCAGTGGACATAACTGAGCGTGTTGTTGTCCCTGAGTGTCTCCAGCTGTCTCTGTGTCTCATTCTGACTGACTTTTCTGCAGACTAACGTCCTCACTGTCCCTCTGTGTCTCTCTTTTTCTTCTTCTCTGCCGTTCTGCTAGGATCTGTATCAGGTTGGTATCAGAGGCTTCGCTTCTCCACTGGCTGCTGAAACGTGAAACGCCCACAGTTTCTGTCTGTTAGCGTGCTTTCAGATCCAACATGGCCGCTCCCTGCATCGCTTTCATCGCTTCCTGTTTGTTTGACACATTTTCACTGCAGGTTTCCTGCATCACATCACCTCTGAGCGTTTGCTGCTCAGTCTGAAAGCACTGACTTTGTTTGTTTGTTTGTTTTGTTTGTTTGTTTGTGTTGAGACCTTTTCTCCCTCAGTCTGTTTTCCTGAAACAAATCAGAGTTGTTTTTATTGAAAGAGCAAATGCAGGTGAGGCACCAACTTTAACATTAATACAAACCTTAGGGTCAGGTCGCCAGCATCCGTTACCGTGGCAACAGATACAGGCCCAGTTGCCCACTCTGAGGGATGGGAGACTGGGCGTCCACACTGAGGGACAGTGAATCAGTTGTAGAGCTACGTCCTCTGGTGACTCCGATAGTATTTACTTTTTCTTCCACTGGTTGATGAGATATTTTGCTAACAGCCAGATGCAGGATCACAAACCGGATCGCCCTCATCATTTTGCTTAAATTACATAAAGAAACAAAAATAAATGTTTAAAAACTGTTTGTTACAAAAACTAAAACTCTGTACAGATCAAACCTTAAATGTTAAAAACTTTTCTGTTTATTTTAAGATAAAAGGAGAAATAAATTACAACTTTATTTAAAAAAAGTCATAAACTGAATTTAATTTGAATAAATGAAACGAATAATGTTGCACCGAAGTTCAAAAGCAGTTAATATTTTAATAAGTTATTTTTATTTCACTGCCTCCTGACAGATTTAATTTAAACAATTTAAAGCGTTAATCGTGTTTTTTAATCTCTTTAAAGTTTAACGGATGATTAACAAATGAAATAATCAGGAGATGATCATCAAACGATGCTCCTCTCGGTTCCGTTTGGTTCTGTTGCTCAGCGTGTCTCTCGTGTGTGTGTTTGGACCCGTCAGTCTGGTGGTTCTGGTGGCGCTCAACATGCTGCTGTTCTACAAGCTGTACGCTCTGGAGCGGGCCGCTCACACTCTGGAGAGATGGCACTCCTACTCTATAACTGACAGGTAGGCACACACCTGAGGGGGCGGGGTTAAAGTCCTGATCTGGGTGTGGATCGGGGATTCTTCTAGACTGTGCAGGTTCTGACCCGTTTGTCCCTCTGCAGCCCGTTGCCTCAGACTTCAGGGGAGTGGGCTCAGGTTCTGCACCTGCAGAGACAGTTCCATCAGGCCCAGCTCGGCAAGTGGCAGCAGGTTCTGCAGTCCTCCGTCACACTCCTGGACCAGGTGAGTCCGCCTGTCGGAACCCCGAGACGTGTTGCTCTTCAGAACCGGAGCGACCCGACGAGCTTCAGCTGTTGCTTCTCCTTTCAGATGAAGCAGTCGTTGGAAAAACTCCACCGGAACATCGTGGTCCCGGAGGTCCAGCAGAATCCGTCAGATGATGCTCCGGCAGAGTCTCGGACTGAAACCTGAGGCGTCCAGAACCACCCTGAAACCGTCTGTTAGTACTGATCAAAAACCCACTTGGGTTGGGACCTACAGGTGAACTACATTACCCACAATCCTCCACTCCTGACTGACTTGAAATGGCTTCCGACGCCTTGGGCTTCTTCCGGACCGAAGCTTCCAGAACCACAGCAATAATCCTGCATCCCATCTGTATATAGTGCACGGAACCGGGCCACTGGTGGGCCCGTTCGTGCCGCCCGCCAATCATTTCAGTTTGCTGCAGACTCCGCCCCCTCCTCCAGCCCGGGACAGGACTATGGACTCGGACTCGGACCACAGCAGTATTTATTGCCTCTGAAGTCTCATCCTGCTCTGAAGAAGTCATGTGACGGCTGTGCTGCGCTCCGATTGGCTGCTGAGTTACGGACCAATAGATGAGGAACAAAAACCCGTTTCAGCAATAATGAGAAAAGTTCTGGTTCTGTTGGAATGTTTCCAGATAAAAAAGGGTTAAATTAAAGTGTATGCGTGTGTGCGTGCTTGTGTTTGCGTGCGTGTGTCTGTTACATCATCAGATGTTACTTTTTCACGTCTTTGTTTTTGTCACATTTCATTCGACCCAAACAAACCGGACCAATCAGAACCTTTCAGGCCCAGATAAAGTAAAGGGAAGCAGCTGTTCAGTGTTTTTTTTTTTTTTATTTTAATTTTGTCGACTCGATGTAAAATATTGTGGTCCGGTCCTCCTCTCTGAGCCCGACCCGCTCCGTCGGGCCGGCGCCTGCAGCGGCTCGGCCGGGTCCGGCAACCTGAAGGTGCCGTTCGTTCGGAGCGGGGGGGGTGGAGGTTCTGTCAGGCTGTGAAGCGTGTAAAAACCTGCTGCTCTGCTGAAATGACAGAAATCTTCAGATCATGGATCTTCATCACAAAAAGAAAATAAACGTTTAGAAGAAAAATACGTTCAGCTTTAATTCTGTAAGAAAATTAAATCTTTAATAAACGACCGCTGGCGTTGCTTGAAGGAATGCATGTCACCCGCCACCCTCCATGGCAGAGTTAATGACTCAAGGTTAGCTGTGGCGGCCATCTTGGATCAGCTCGACTAAAAGTTAACCAGCTGTAGTTTATTCACCGAGTGTAACGTCTGACCACTGGTTCAGGAGATATTTTGCTAACAGACGAGCAGAAACGGATAAATCTGTTGAATATGTATTTTATCAGTGCAGGTCTGAGTTTTTAGATCAGCCTGAATAAATATTCAAAACTACGGCAACTCACAAGGTCCAAAACTCAAACCATGTTTTTTTAAATATTTTTCTGGTTTTACTCGAACTAAAATAAAAAATCTGCTGCAGAACCTCCTCGGCTGGTTCTGTTGATCCAAAACCTCGTGACCACGGACCAGGAGGTTTTTCTCCACATCACAACAAGCCCAGACTTGTTGATCCAAAACCTCGTGACCACGGACCAGGACCAGAACCAGAAGGTTCTTCTCCACATCACAACAAGCCCAGACCTGTTGATCCGCTCCACCAGATCCTTGAACTCTGCCTCAGACTCACCTGGACCCAGAGGGAGCGGGTCTCCTTTTTCTAGTTCAGAACCAAGAACCCAGACAGAGAGGAGCTGACATCCCAGCTGTGAACCGACCCAGTGACGGTCCAAAACCAAACCAGAACCCCATCTGCTGAAGATCTGGTGCACAAACTGGACCTGAGGTGAGGGGTGGCCCTGATGTGAATCTGGTTCTTCCTTTGGTTCTACAGGGACCGATTCGTCTTCTAGATCGACTTTGGTACCTCAAACAGGCCTCAAACACGATCCGTTTGATTCCATAATCTCAGATCCTGCTCCAAGGAGTCGGGTTCATCAGGTCTGTCCTGGATCCACCGGGTCCATCTCTCCTCTGGGGGGTTGTTTAAAACTGGTTTAGCTGTCCAACTGGACCGGGTCGAGCGGACTTCAGGTCTAAACCGTCTCTGCACCGTAAGAGGTTTTCCCTCAGAACACCTTGCATTACTGAACCCTCTGTGGGGACTTACCTTGGTTTAATCTTGGTTCTGATTGTTTCTGGACCCTCTCGGGTCACTGTAAGCGTCAATGAGCTGTCAATCAGTGGTCATCAATCAATCAATCAATCAATCAATCAGTACAATCCTGTTTCACTCGAACAAAGACTGAGAGACTCGTGTTTCAAAGTTTTTCTTTTATTGTGGAAATGTGAAGAGAAACCTGCACTGTGGTCGGTTTCAGGAGGAAAAACCCAAACAGAACCGGGTCATCTGGGCAGAAAGAAAAGAGGGGGTCACCGGGGTCAAAGGTCAATCCTCTGAGCAGCTTCAGCTCAAACGGCAGCATGCAGGTAGAAAGTCCAAAACCAGAACAAACGCATGCAAAGCGGCAGCTTTGGACCGGGCTTTTATTTCTGGGTTGGTCCTGGAGGCACAGCGAGACCTTTGGAGGAGCTCCGGCACCCCCGGCAGTGAGATCGGACCCTCAAGGAGCCCTGTGGTCCTGCAGAGACTCTGCGTCCGTCACAGGAAGTGGCGCCTCGAAGTGTTTGTGAACTTCCTGCTCGGCTGATGGCTCCAGAACCTTCAGCTGAATCGGGTTCTGGTCTCGGAATCAGAACCTTATTTCAAACGTTTTTGACTGAATTAATAAAAAAAAAGGTTTGTTTTATTCCTAAACGTCCATAAATTCACTCGGATCTGCTACGACGAAGTAAAATGTTTCTTCTGATGTTTAGAGTTTCCAGATGTGTGAAAATAAACCTAAACAATATGTTCTGGTTTCAGAGAAGGAAGTCCAGAAGCGTGTGGGGTCTGGACCGGGCATGGCTTCTGTCAGGTGGACACTTAGATCTGCAGAAAATGAAATTTAACGAAGGGGGAAATTAAATTATGAATTATTTTTTTTACAAACTTTAGCTCCATTAAGCTCCGAGACTTCAGAGGGGGTCCAGTTTTTAGTTGTTGGACAAAAGTTCTGATTCAGATTGATGAGACGTTCTGACTCCAGCCACCAGGTGTCGCTGTGACGCCATCTGAGCAGATCTCGTTTAAACCGGTTCGTCCCGGTCTGACTCGTTCTGCTCTCAGCAGGTGGCGGTGAAACTAAAACCTCGTTAATCAAATAACTCCTTCATGGGATCACATGTGAACATGTCATTTCTGACATGCGTTTTCAGACCTACAGCTCAATCTGACCCGGCCTCTAAAACCTCGACCCTTTCATCGTCCTGCAGAGTCACTTTGAAATAAAATCGCCTTGTGTGGAGGTTTATGTCCTGCGTCTGTTTCCGTCCCGTTGAAGGGGGTCGAGGAGGACGAGGGGGCTGTGGAAGACGTGGGGGACCAGTGGGACGCAGGGACAGGTCCTCAGAGACTCGGCCTGGACTGGACACACGTCAAAGTCACAACATGCAGTTTTAGATGTAAAAGAAGTCACAAACAGACCTGAAGCAGCTTAAAGATGAGAAAAAGTTTTATAATTTACTTTAAAAACAGAAACATCTGGTTCGGTCAACAAATATCAGAAAAATGATCCAATCAACACATAAAAATTCTAACTTGCATCCAGATTAGATCTTTTTTAACAGAAAGGTTTCCAGTATGGAAGACCATTACTGCCACTATGCTTAAAAAAAAAGAGTCGTGTCATCTTTATCATCACTAAAAAAATTAATAAAAAAAAAATAAATATATATATATATATATAAATATTATATATATATATTAAATACAGATAAGTGCTGTAAAAAATTGTAGTTAAACACTAAGAAATTACAGTTACCGGTATATAGAGTGAACAGGTGTGTTACCTGTTATTCTGCCTCCTGCTCGGCTGCACAGTTCTCTTTACTCTCCGATGCTATGGCTAAATACTCGGCCCTGCAGGACGACAGACATCAGGACATGTTGGACACAGTTGGACAGACTCAGACCCAGGGTGTGGGGGACGTGGACTCACTCGCTCTCCCTCAGAGCTTCCTCTCCAGCCGCAGAGATCTTTCTGTAGCAGTAAATCATCTCCACCAGCAGCCAGAGCTGCAGCCCAATGATGGAGACATACATCATCACCTCAGACAAGATGGACGCCATCCCTCTGGTGACTGCAGACACACAGAAGACGACCGGTGAGACGGGTGGTTTATCTCTGAACCGTGAAGGAGGCTCACAACATGCATGTTTTAAATGAGACCAGGTATAATTTATAACGGTTTGAATTGCAGTGTCCTCGCTCTGCACTGCCTGAATCCTGCAGTGAAATACATTTAAACACTGTAAGAATTTACAGTGAAATACAGTTAAACACTAAGAATTTACAGTGAAGTACAG